TTTTTGGCATTGCTCTCAGTGCTGTTCCCCAGTGTAACGCTTTATATCGTCCTCTCTCAATCTGTTTTAGCTGACATATGACTATCAGTTTGACTTCGAGGACGATCAGCACAAGATCCCCTGCCATTGTGGAGCCTGGAATTGCAGAAAGTGGATGAACTAACAGGGACAGAGAAAGAGTCCGACCCATCTTTGCTCCCTGGTGCCAGAACACTCCTGCGCCAAAGCCGGTTATATTCTTACTATCCAGTTAATAAGCTGCTCTAAATTGAGGAAGAAAAGTTCACTCTGTCACCTGAACGACAAGACTTTGTTATTCACAACAAGAGCCAAAGCTTTGAAGAGTAAACTTTTGATGCCACAACCTTTTACAGATGAGCTCAAAGGTATTGGACCTGCCTGAATCTTTCGTGTTGATTAAAAAGTACACCTCTGCCAAAAGCACCTCTACTTCCTCCACTGTTTCCTCCTACAATAAGCTGACTCTGACTGCAATCGATCCCTTCGACATCTACCAAAATACCTGAAGCTATAGCATATCAATACACTTAGACTAGAACTCAGTGAAGATGTTTGATTAAAGCCATGCAAGTACTCAAAAATGAACTAGTACACTTTAGCTTGGACCTATCCTTTCCGCTACCACCCTTTCCGTCACCCCAGACGAACGCCCTTCCATCAAATCATCAATGAAGATCGTGGACATTGGCAAGACAATCCTGGAGTGGCTCTGCGTAGAACTGTGACGAGATATGATAACGTCGAAATACTATTGACCTGTGGCTCGAAAGGCACCAGATGTTTTATTATATTGAGTTAAAAGGTGGGTTTATTTCACCCAGTCTACCTCATTGAGTTTGTGGGACGTCACTGCTTTGTATTAAAACTGTTAAGTGCTACTGTGGAAAGGGGAAGGCAGGAATGTGTCCATGGCAATTGCCTTCTCGGATAAGCAGGGAAACTTAAGCAGCAGGTTTGCTTCTATCTATATTTTACTTTCTGATGATTACAATAGTGAGCCAGTGCAACTGTTTTTGATTTGATTATACAAATGAGATACAGTATATGACAATGCATTACTTGGAGCAATCAAAACTCAAACGGGTGTCTCAGAGGCCACCTTTTTCCGACTGTAGATATCATGTAGCTGCGTCGACACACATGCGGATCATGCTTTTAGTGTAGAAACGTTCATCTGGATTCTCTCGCGTTCTTGACGATGGAGCAAATTATGAGAAAGGGCCACAGTGCGGATCCACGTTGGTGCAATTTTAAAGATTATAGGGCAAAAAAAAAAAAAAACTAGTGATGCAAGACTGCCACTGCATTCAACATGTTTTCCCATCTTGAATCCTTCCATCCTGCGTTCATTAGATCTCCGTATGGATTTCATCACTCCAACCAGGACCCTTAGGTGTAAAGCCTCTTCCCTTCTGTGATAGTGGACTGTTGTAAACTTACTGTAGTGAGTCTTTCTCTGCCTGCTGACGGCCAGTTGTATCTAATCTATGTATTGTGGTTTGATAGTGGTAGCACAGTCTACAGGCTTGACGCAGTGATGGAGGAGGACTTCAAAAGGGCATTTCTATTTTCTTTTATATTAAAGTAAATTAAAACTGTTAAAAAAAGTTGAATTTCAAAGAAGGGAGTTGAACAAAGTCTCCACATAGCCCATGCTACTTTGTTCCTTTCTCCCCTGACTTATGACCTCACATTAAGAATAAATGCAAAATGTATAAACTGTACATAATAGGGGTCTAAACTCTTTATCCAGCCCGTTTTTAATCAAATTCAAAATTGTAGAGAAATAAAATTCATGAGAATAGGCAACCACTGGATATCATTTTATCAGAAAAATAAATGTGTATATATCTATAAATATATGTAAAATGGCAAACTAAGTAATATCTTTATGTATATGAACCAGAGCGTTTTTGCATTTAACTTTTTTTTTTTTTCTTTTTTCTATCTGCGTTTTTTTCCTACAAGACCATATACAGTTGAACTAAAAAAGTGTGATGTTTCTCTTGTCTTCACCAATGAATTTTTGGAAGACGTGTGGTGGTGAATGGCAAACATTTAAGATGGGATTCATGCAAAGTTTTTTCATGGAAATAGATACTACTTTTGTTTTGTTTTTGAAAGATACAGCAGTAAAATGGTGCATAGCATTTGCGTATTTATGAAATATTGTTCACGTATATTTCTTTTATTTATGCTACTGCTTGTGAATTACTGAACCCTGTCCTTGAATCAGTGACAGTTTAACTAGCATATACAGTAAATGGAAAATCTTGAATCTCCCAAGATGATACTGTTTTTGATTCGTGTCCTGTTGTTTTCTTCCCCTCCCTGTAGAAGTGAATGTTTTATATGACTTATGAAAAGGCCGCATAGCCGGAAAATGGTATGACTTCAATAATCGAAAATATCTTCATTAATTACATGTGAATTGCACTCAGCATTATTTTATTTATACATCCTCCGAACTAGCATTGGTTCTTTTAAGGGTAGTCTGTTAATAAACATGGGCGCTTACTGAATTTTAAGTAACTCTCGCCCCCCTTTGTTCTTTTGAAATCTCTTAATTTAAACTCTCTACTCGTGCTGTAATTAAATAAATCCTGATTTTGGTTTTCAACCTGATCTACTTTTTAAAAAAGATGCTGCAACTGTACAGCAGAGCTACTTTTAGGGAAGATGAATAAAATGGTAATTTTTATTGGATGTGGCATGTTTTGTATGGATATAATTTTGAATTGTACATATTTTTGAACGTCAGAGGTTGCATCTCTTTATATACGGCTGTCCCCTTCCCTCCCAGCCCTCCATTTATTTCTGTCTCTACTTTCTTTCTTGTAAAGAAAAATAAAATGCATTTTAAATATAAAGTTTTCTGTCGTCACGTAAAATTTAATGCATAAACATTTTGAAGCTTAGAAAGTTTTCACTTTGAGTGGCATCTTTCATAGGCAAAATTTTAATAGAAATTCACAATTTTATATATAAATTGTAAATTATATATGATTATGGTACTATTTTAGAATTATAAAATGTTCATTCGAAATAAAGGAATAGTTCACCCAAAAATGAAAATGCTGTCATTAATTACTCACCTTCATGTCATTCCAAACCTGTAAGGCCTTCGTTCATCAGTACCACGACGCATGCTCTCGATATTGCCTCTCGGATTTCATCAAAAATATCTTAATTTGTGTTCTGAAGATGAACGAAGGTCTGACGGGTTTGGAACGACATGAGGGTGAGTAATTAATGACAAGAGTTTTCATTTTTGGGTGAGCTATCCCTTAAGCTATTGGAAAGAGTCAATGAAACAGAAATAAGAAAAAGGATTTATTACTGTTTATCATTTATGTACATTATATTAACTAACCCACAAGTGGATTTGTATTCAATATGATTAAAATACACATGGAACCTCAGGATCAAAAACTCGTATGCATTGCATTGAAAACATCGGCTACCAAGTCTGAACTCTTATCAAGACTAAAATGGACAAACATGTCAGGAAATTTAGACTAAATTGCCTCCACAAAGTGGCAGTAACTACCGTCTGAAACAAGTATCATTCCTTAAAGGCACAATATGTAAGATTTTTTTATTAAAATATCCAAAAACCACCTTGACCAGTGTTATATATTTTGCTGACTTGTGTACTTACATTATCCCAAATGTTTCGAAGAATGTTTAAATCCAGAGAAATAAGCAATTTTAACTAGTGACACGGACCGTGTCCATAGTGTCATTGTGTGGCCTGCCAATGACATCATAACACCTCGACTTCCGGTTTTGTTTTGTAGAAAACATGGAAACACCAAAGACGCTTTAATATGTTGTGCGCTTTAATAGACCGGTGACGACCGCACAGAGTAGCATAGTAACAGAACTTTCAAATGTATCTAGTATGATGAAACAGCGCTGCTTTTTCCCCCCACATAGGCCTACTTATGATCAGAAGCGGTCGCCTGTGGCATAGTAAAAGCTCCGCTGCTTTCGAGCCATGTGTCATGCTCGTTTCAGCGGCCTTGTTTCACTTTGATGGCTTTCAGCCTCCCCCTGCTTCATTCTACTACGTTAATAAATCATTAGCTCATCCATGAACATGATTTCTGCCCGAGTCCCGTCGGATTGCATCGGCTGTGGGGATGAAGATGACAACTCCCATGATTCCACACTCAGTCATGGCGTCATCAAACTACGCCTTTGTTTCTTTGTTTATTTTGAATACACACCCTCTAGTGGCAAAAATTACATATTGTGCCTTTGTCTTCTGCAAATGTTACGTTTTACAAACATCTGCAAAATCCAAGTTGTAAGGAAAAAAAGCAAGCACAATATAAATAGTGGAACAATTAGCCTATACATTTATAAGAACAGAATTCCCAGTGTATGATGTAGAGCACCATGATATAACAAAATTCAGTCCTAATTCTCAGTTATTTTAGCCATTCTTAACATCACTCAATTCGACTGAATCATGCTGCTGTCATCAAACATATTCCAGCTACACAGAGCAGATTCATAAGATATGACCTTGACAGTATAAAATGCACAGGTCAATCAGAAATGAACTGTAATAGAGCCTGCAATCGATTAAATGTTACACATAATACAGGACCCTTGTTCTCCTCCAGCCCTTCAACAAGCATTTGGCATTAATGCCAAAGCTAATGCTAATCTAGTCACATTTTGCATCTACTGTTATATCTATATCCCAGATTCCAGTTAATCATTCACATCTGCAGATTTCTGACTTTTATCAAGACATTGGTGCAAGTGAAGTCAATAAAGGATGGAGGGAGTAGTGAAGTTGGCATATGATGCAGTGTTGCCATGCCCAGCATTTGGTGGTTAGTCTTGGCAAACCCTAAACATAAGAATGAGGAAGAAATGTTCAGTAGTATTTATAAATTAAACTGAATGACAACTCTTCTATGCAAGGCAAAGCGGAGCAATATAAATGTTGTAATGCAGGCAAATAGAGAGATGCATTATTTTACTTCAATACTTTACATGTGTGTGTCTATTACATCCTTAAAAGGACACTGACTGCAAACAAATATCAACAGTGCAGTTTAACATGCCAACATCCCAGAATAATGGGAACAGAACATACTAAACGTTCCCATTAAAATAAGTTGATTTTTAAAAACGCATACAAGTGGTAGTGACTTTCCTGAAAAACTCTCTTATTTTCTCAGTATGCCGTCGGACAACAGGACTAAACAATCATCCCGCAATGAATTCAGCAATCACAATACGGATTTTAAGAACCCGAAAACAATTAAATAAAACATACATGCGCGCACACACACACTCCCTGTGAACATTTAAAAGCATTCGAACCCGAAACCATATTAATGAAGTTAGTTTTTAACCAATGCAGCCTGATTTTTACTGGAGTAAATAATCTGCACTTCTTCATTTCTTCCACAGGAACAAAGAACTGCAATGCCACTTTGCCACACAGTCACGGTGTGTTCGCTTTGCTACACTTAGGTTTGTACATGAATTGCTAGTCATAACAGGAGGAGACAGTGTTATCCACATTTTTTCACATTCTCACAACAGCAGTAGAGCACTATATATAATCATAGATTCACACTGGGATATGACATACGGTGTATTAGTGTGTGAGGACGCACAAAAATGAAATCGAAACATTCTTTTAAAAAAAGTCACGGCAAAGTCCATTTTGGACGAAAGTGGTGAAATAAAAACGATAAAATCAAAATGCCTGCCACAGTTCAATTGTCATTCCTGCCAAAAAAAACAGTAGGTCCATGGAGGGAGGTTGTGCTGAAATCAGCGGTTGGTGGCTCATCCACGATCGGGAACTTTGATGTTGGAGAAATGGAAAAGGGCTGGGATGGACTCAACCTCAGTAGTTTCGTCTTAAGATGGTGAGGTAGGCCTCGTCACAACTTTAGAAGGTTCAAAAAAGGGCTAAAACTGGCAGGCTGCTTTTGGCTTAAGTCTTTATTCGCTTGTGCGTCTCTACAGGGATCTGCAGCATCCCGCATCTTTCAGATCTTAACGTCCTCTTGGACGCTGAGTTGCGAGAGAGTCTTCTTAATCCGCAGAGCCGTAAGCCGTGCCGCTCCATTGGCATACCAACACTCCCGCATGATCTTCCCCATCACTCTCAGCGCCTGCGGAGAGAAAACCCAAATAAAACTTGAGTTTTCCAGCCTCTCTCACAAGTATGCTTGCGAAGGCTGTATTTTCACATTGAAAAATCCCAGATGGCACGCATGAAGCATATTGCACTCAAAAATGGCGTTTCAAATTGGCAAGCATGTTTGTGGTGAATGCTGCACCATTATTTGTGTTTTTTCTTCAGTGTGGTCTACTGTTATCATCAGTTCCACATGTACCAGTCCTAAAAGTCATGTATTGACTGAATAAACTATGGTTGGTCACTGGAAATGTCAAAGTTGGAGGGTCATGAGTTTTTACCTCGTAGCTCTGCCACCAGTTGGGCACATTGGGCCGTAGTCTCTGCTCACACACCACCTTCCTCATCTCTTCTATAGAGGGGTCGGAGGGCACTAGATCATAGTAAGGAAGCTGGTAATCTTCATGGATGCCTGAGAAAATAGTAAAAATGTGAGCTGATAGGTTCAGCAAGTTTATTGCTGAATGGCTCAATGCAACGTTTTATGTCATATTTTTTTCAAGATTTCGTTTTATTGCTCATGTGTAGCAAAATAAATCAGCATTCAAAGTCACATGGGGAAATATTACAGCTGCAACCAAATATTCAGGATTGGGAGCTGGAGGCAGGACTGACAATTCTGCCCTCGTATAATTTTCTACTCTAGGCCTCATCATATATGTAACTGTATGTAAACCAGTAAACATACACATCATTACATAGTAAACCAATTAAAGCCTAATAATTGTATTTAACTGCCAAAAAAAAATACTAAATACATATTCACACAACAAATTAGGGCTACATAAATTGGCCAAAAATGATTACATAACTATAATTAAAAATAAATATTTAAGTTACAACATTTTACAGGAATTTCCACTAATCAGCTAAAATATGAAATGTGATTAAAAGATAGTGATGCTTTTTTCCAGGTTTGTCAGTAATTTTCAGTATTTACAAAAACTCACCAAGCTGTTTTTATTTGATCAAAACACAGTAAAAATAGTAATATTGTGAAATTTTATTGTCATTTAAAATAACTGCTTTCAATTTAATGCACCGAATTCATTTCAGTGTCACATGATCCTTCAGAAATTATTCTAATATGCTTATTAATGCTGAATAAATGGTACTGAGACACGACACCTAAAACTCTATGGCTCCTACAGCCAGTGAAAGCACTGATATTAAATCACATTTGCTAAGAGATTGTGGGTGGAAGATAATTTAAGCTCCTTTTTCCTCACCTCCAGCATTACACCGTCGTGCAATCTCCCAGTATACCAGTCCCAAAGAGTAGATATCAGCACACTTGAAAGAATCAAAATGCTTCATGTTGATCGTTTCATCTAGTACCTCTGGGGCCATATATCTAAAAGGCAGAATAAATTCACATCAGGTAATGCAGTTTTCATAGTTACCTTTATAGTTACATTTACATGAAGCAGCCGTTAACTGAATGTGGTAGAAGTGCCTGACAATAGATGTACCTTTTGGTGCCAACCCTCTGATTAGGTGCGATGTCAATAGTATCAGTGATAGACTCGTGCCGTACAGCGAGCCCCAGATCTGCTATGGCACAAGTACCATTCTTTTTCACCAGGATGTTTTTAGATTTGAGGTCACGATGTGCAATGCCTGGTTTTCCTGTGGAAGGAGACCATCGTGATTGAGTTTGGTTTTGTGAGTACAGGATTTGAGAGATTTTACAGTTCAGATGTAGAGGCCGACATGTCAAACTGATTCATTCATAATTACCCTGTGTTCCCAGGATCTCCATGTGCAGATGTGCCAGGCCGCTGGCCGTTGAGAGTGCTAACTTAATCATCCCCTCGATTGTGACGGAGTAGTGGTTGAGATAGTCAAATAATGAGCCATGTTCATGATAGTCTGACACCAGCCACAGCTGTGTCCATGTGCCATTGTCTAAGAAACAGACACAAATATTCAAAGAGATTTAGGGATGGATGAACTCACTGTCTTTATATGTTTGATCAATATATGAAATATATCAGTAATCACGTTATGATGACAAATTACTTAAAAAAAAACAATATTAATTTGTATAATATTAAATATTAAAAAGCAAAAATTAAGTAAATGTAATATAAATGTAATGGATGGATGGATGGATAAACAAATAATTATTTTAAATAATTACAATACTATAGATTAGCATTAAAATATAAAAAATAAATGTTTAAACAATAATTATATGTAATATAGATAGATAATTAAATGTTTTAACAATATATCAATTTGATTATATGTAAGATAGATAGATAGATAGATATTAAATAATTACAATACTACAGATTAGCGTTAAAATATAAAAAATGAAACATGCAAGATAATGTTTATATGTAAGATAGATAGATAGATAGGATTTATTCTTTTAAATAATTATACTATTATATATTGTGCTAACATTAAAATACTAAAAATTAAATGGTCTAAACAATATAATATATTGATTTGATTATATGTAAGATAGATAGATAGATCCTTTGATTCCTTAGACTCCTTACCTTTATTATCAGCAGCAATGAAGCCCAAGATGTTCTCATGACGGAGCATGATGGTCTGGTAAATCTCAGCCTCACGGAACCAGGAGCGTTCCTCTCTGGATGAGAAGATCTTCACAGCCACATCCCCTCCTCTCCATCTCCCCCTCCATACTTCCCCAAAGCGACCTTTACCTATAATTTCCTGCAGAACAATTGTCCTGGCCACTGTTCGCTGAACAAACAAGGGCAGACCTGCAATGAGAAAACTCATTAGCACACAAACAACACACTACTCACATACAGGAGGAGGACAGAGGCACAGCTTACCAGATCCTGAACCGGAGGTGGACAGATCAAAGATGAGATCCTGTAAGGTCTTGTCTTTGGCCAAGTACAGATGATCACAGGACGGATCCTCAACGTCGAGTCGCTGCCGATGGTTATAGTTGCGCTGGTGGTGCTGGAAAACGAGCACTCCCACGATAAGCAATAAGCAAAAGAGGAAGACCGGGCCTGCTATCACTGCCACCAGCTCTACAGGACCCCAGCTGTCCTCTTTACCTTCAGTAATCCCTGAAAAAGATGAGTAAAATGCACTTTACAGGTTGGACCTAGACGGATGGACCAATATTAAAATTCTGTCCAATACTGATAACACGTAGACAATTATTTTCATACTATGATAAAAGGTCAATATTAAAACTCTATACTATTTTGTATAAATAAATTGAAAATGAACCACTAAAATTTAAAAGTAATAGTTTTAAATGCATCCATAAGTGAAATTAGGCATCACATTATAATGTACAGTATGAAAATCAATTATTTTAAATAGAAATATTTTGTAATATTATACTGCATCCTTAAATGTAATATGTGACCCTGGACCACAAAACCAGTAATAAGTCACACGGGTATATTTGTAGCAATAGCCAACAATACACTGTATGGGTCAAAACTATCAATTTTCGTCTTTTATGCCAAAAATAATTAGGATATTAAGTAAAGATCATGTTCCATGAAGATATTTTGTAAATTTCCTACCGTAAATATATAAAAACTTACATTTTGATTAGTAATATGCATTGCTAAGAATGTCATTTGGACAACTTTAAAGGCAATTTTCTCAATATTTAGATTTTTTTTGCAACCTCAGATTCAAGATTTTCAAATAGTTGCATCTCAGCCAAATATTGTCCTATCCTAACAAACCATACATCAATGGAAAACTTATTTATTCAGCTGTTAAAAATTAAAATGGACCCTTATGACTGGTTTTGTGATCCAGGGTCACATATTTAAATAATTGAATACATTTAAAAAGGTAAATAAACAAACAAACAAACTTTTTAACACTAGTGTATTTGGCCTGTACTCCTACCGCTGGGAATCTGGAGGTTGATGCTGTTGCAGAAGTCCGTATAACAGCAGTGTGTGTTGAACAGGCCTTTGGCGCTCAAGCAGTAGATGGGCTGTCCAGGTGGTACCAGGTTGACACGGGGAATGCAGATCCGAACTTGCTCCTCCTCCTGACCTTTAATGTGGGATGTAGAGGCCATGCAGGCCCCATCAGTCTCACAGACATAACCGCTGCTCTCACAGGCAGTGCAATTACACTTAAGAGCTAGACAGAGGAAGAGAGAGAAGAACGATTAAAATATGTCTCTAAATAACTGCAATATGTCTTCATCTTAATGTCAGATTCTAAATGAGGATGTATTCAAGTGGATTTTTAGTGAACTGTGCTAACTCAAAATATCCACCAGAGAGCAAGCAAGACCGATATAAGGACATAAAGAATCACTGAGTAAGGTAACTCAGGCCAGACGCACTGCATGCAGAGTTCAGTTCGCTACCAAACTACATAACATGAAACTGAATCCGCCACTGCAGATGAACCCAAACAGACTGTGTATAGCAGAAGCTGGCATGGGATGGCCTGATTCGGAGCCCCACTGCTGCACCTTTATATCAGCAAAACACTTTTACAGACTATTGCGTTATTGTCAGAACTCAGTTTGCAATAAATAATGAGCAAGACGATTAGATTTGACACGTAAGAGGTAGTAGGAGCAACAGTGCATTCAAATCCAACTGAATGTAGATTTTTATTATACTAAAACAGAGAAGCAATGTCTTAAAATGGTTTATTATTTATTAAAATAATCTCGAACAAAAGGGGGCTTTGGAGTCAAGCTGGTCTATAGGATTTTAATCACCCTTTTATTGTCTAATCACTGAGAATATGCTCGGTTCACTAAAATATCTAAAAATCAAAATTGTTTATCTTCTATTGGCAAGGTCGTTGTTAGATTTTGGATTGGATACATGGAGGAAATTACACTTTTGTTCACCGACCAACTTGGCATGGTTAACATCAGATGCGGGAAAACGTCCCTGGTTACTGAACATAACCTCGGTTCCCTGAGAAGAGAACGAGACGTTGCGTACAGCTTTGCTGACGCATTGGGGAAACACCTTTCTCCTTAGAATACTGAAGCCTGATCAGCGCTTCGCTCAAGCACGTGAAAATTGGGGGGGCGCGGTGCCCCTTATAATCCAGTGCTTGGCGCCATTTTCCTCAGAATCTTCGACTGAATAAGACCTGAGCGAAGGTGGCACGGCACGAACAAAACGTCTTGTTCCCTTCTCAGGGAACCAAGGTTACGTTCCCTTTCGAAATGTCTCGACATTGGGGAACATATACAGTCACGCCGTGTCTACTGCCAAGGTCTTCCAGCTAGAAAATGGAGACACAATGCAGTTTGAAGTAGAAAATAGGGATGGGCATATCGATCCTAAGTATCGATATATCGATACTGACGCGAGTATCGAAAGTATCGATACTCAAACAGAAAATATCGATACTAAGGTGTGTTTTATTTACCAGTGATTTCGTTTATTTAAAATAATAATAATAATAATAATGCGTACAAATGCATTGAATTAAACAAATAACCTTTGTTCGCAAGTAATTGTGTAGGATATATCTATTTTCCTGCTCATCTGAACACACGCAAATGTTGCAAGACAGAACCAATCAATCAAAGAGAGCGTTCACTCACTTCTAAAAGTGCATTCAAACAGGGCTGCGTTTCCCAAAAGTATCATAAGAAAGCATTAAAGCTTTTGGGAACAGCAGCCCTGAACAATGCTTATCAGAGGACAGAAAAAAACATATGTTTGAGTTATTTCACAATAAACAAATCGTAGCCTACATAGTTTGTACAATTACATTTATTTAAATTGAACGTTGAAAGATAATATAGATCATGTTCTATTCAGTAATGTTAATAGAAATCATACACTGTCAGAACAAAAAGGTTGCATTTTATGGATGCAACAGCCGGTCACTGGCAGTCCCTTATGATAATGAACCATGGTTTTACTAAAGTGACCATAGTTCAACTGTAGTATTTGTAGATTTAAATCATGTGTAAACAAAAACACATTTGAACCATGTGCAAACAAATATATAACCTAATAAATTACAATTAAGGCGTATTGAATGTTAAAATGCATTTTAAACTAAGTTAAGTGGTTATCATTACCCATTTTACTCTTAGTAATTTAATAATTTAATACATTTCATAATTTAAAAGTTTAGTTCAGAAGTATCGTATCGGTATCGGTATCGACGATACTGCCTTGAAAAATATCGGTATCGTATCGAAAACAAAATAAGTGGTATCGCCCATCCCTAGTAGAAAAGGGCACATGCTGCGCAGGCGGGGATATCCTTTGACAGACTCGCTAGAGCCAATCAGAATCAAGTGAAAAGGTTCCCTATATTTGCATGTCAGCAGAACTGGTTGAAACCCCGTGCTCTAGAAGGGAGGGCGGGGCCCAGGTAGTCACTAAACGAGAATGAACGTTCTATAGAATGATAGAAGTGGTGACAGTCAGTGCTTACTAACAAGAGAACCACATTGAGATAATATTAAAAGTGGCACAGTGCATTGCAAGTCCTAAGAGAAGCAAACACATATAAACACACACAGGTTAAAAAACCTGCACATTCCGATAGCGTGTCCTGGAACGAAGCAATGTGAGTTCAAGGGCTACTAAGCCAGTGATATATGATACATTGCATTAATGCAGCGAGCGACCGACTCTGTGCTTCAGAGAATAACATAAGAGGCCCGACAACAATAACCATGGTGAGAACTAGAGATGAAAGCGCAGGCGGCGCCTGACGTAAGAGTCTATCGGACCTAATGGAAACCCGCACCATAAGCGAGGGGGCGGGGGCTCCTATTGCTGCCGTAGAATGTCACCCACAACAGCCAAGTAATAGCAGTGGTAATAATCAGAGATCTTATCTCGCTTAGCTTTCCTGAACTGAAAGGACCCGAGAAGCTAGCGAAGAAACGTCCAAATTATAAAACCTGGCAAAGGTGTTCTGCGAGGCCCATCCTCCTGCCAAGCAGATTTCCTCCATAGATATACCCCTTGCCCATGCCCAGAAGGAAGCGATGCTTCTTATGGCGTGGGCACGCACCCCGATGGGACAATTTGTATTCTGTGTGTCATAAGCCAGGGCTATCGCGTCCACGACTCAATGAGATAGCCTCTGTTTCTATACCGGTAGACCTTTAGTACGACTGCCGTTACACACAAAGAGCTGTTCTGAGAGTTTGAAATTCTTGGTGTGCTCGACATAGATGCGCAGAGCGCGCACAGGGTGAAGCGGCTGTGGAGGGGGTCTTTCCCCGTCCACAGGCTCACTCTGGGTGAAAGCTGAGAGAGTTATCACTTGGCTCCTGAACAGTGTTGAAAGCACTTTAGGCACGTAGCCCTTCCTTGACTTAAGAATGACTTTACGGTCATTAACACCAAAGCTCAAACAGGATTCGCTGACTGAGAGAGCATGTAAATCCCCGATCAGCATGACAGAAGCAAGCGCAAGCAGAAGCGTTGTCTTGAGAGAGAGCACTTTAAGTGAGGCTGACTGCAGCGGTTCGAAAGGGGTGTGTGTCAGGGCATCCAGGTCCAAAGTCAAGTCCCAGGAGGGGATTGTGGTCGGGCGGGGAGGGTTGAGCCGCCTAGCGCCACAGAGAAATTTATCCACTAAATTGTTCTTGCCAACTGGCTGTTTGTCAATACCATTATGAAAGGCTGATATCGCAGCTATGTATAATTTGAGCGTGGAGGGCGTGCGGCCGTCATCGAAGCGCTCTTGTAAAAATGACAGAATAATGAATGAGATCGAGCAGGTGGCTGGATCCATGTTCTTTGAACTGCACCGATTCGTGAAAACTTTCCATTTATGAGTGTATAGGCGCCTGGTGGACGGGTCTCTCTTCAGAAATGGTTCTCATCACTTGCTGAGGTAACGATGCTGAAGTGGACGGACTCTGTTGAGTGGCAAGACATGCAGGTCCCACAGCGCCAGGTTGTGGTGCCAGATTGAGCCGTTTGCCTGGGAGAGGAGGTCCTTCCTCAGAGGAATAGGCCAGGCAGGGCTCGATAACATCTTGAGAAGGTCCGGGAACCAGGGCTGAGTGGGCCATTTCGGCGCAACTAGCAGAACTGGCTCCTTCTCCTGTCTGATTCTGCACAGCACCTGATGCAGGATGTTCACTGGAGGAAAAGCATACTTGCGAGCTCTCGGCCAAGGGTGGGCGAGCGCGTACACTCCCAGAGTGGAGGGCTCGGTCATGGAAAAAAACCTTGGACAATGAGTGTTCTCCGCTGATGCGAAAAGGTCTACCTCCGCTCTAGGGATGGGCGATATGGGCTTAAAAATATATCACGATATTTCTGGTATTTATTGCGATAATATCAATGACGATAATTCAGGGAATCCTGTTTCTTTAGAGAAAAGTATTATCTTTCCTATTTTTACCCAAAATAGGGTGTTGTGAGCATGAATGAGTACACACGTAATGTAAAGACTGTTTGACTCATACTGGAAGCCGGAGGGCGCTCTTGCACAGAAACTCCACATATCCATAGCAGAAGTAATACTACTGACGACACTCCAGGAAGGTATCCAGTTAACGCTGAATAAAACGCACAACGGAGATAGAGACATTTTAACTGATCAAACTTGAGGAAAATAAACATATGATTGGACAAAATATATGGTTTATCTGTGTTCTTCAATCTTGGGCATTTTTATAAGGAAAGTATATTTATAATGCAATGTTAATCGACATGGCCTTTATCACTGTATATAATACCATCATTCTGTAATATGAAACCATGTTTGATCACTAAAAGAAGTATTTGAAACACTCGACTATGTTATTAAGTTAATTTGGAGAAAAAGCATGTCAATAAATTATAACTTTGTTGGACAACAGGTTTGTAAACAGGCTCATACACATGCAAAACTGTATCGTACACGTGCTACTGTAGTACATTTATTCAGACCGATTTTTGTGCACTGTACAGCCCTAACCAAACCAGTTACAGATTGTAAAAGGAGCTCGAGCTCCTCATTTAGTGATATTGGCTACACCTTCTCAATTTCATGTCCGCCTTCCGCGATGTTGCTCCTCACTGTCGCACACAGAAATATGTCAAGAACTAGACTTTATCGCTATTATTGCAGGAAGACTAATTCTTATCGGGGGGAATATTTTTTACCGGTATATTGCAAACGATAAGATATCGCCC